AGCGGGCTGCAAGGGCGGCGAGCAGGCCACAAGGGCGGCTGGCGGGCCTAGGGGTGGCGGGCGGGCCGCAAGCGGGCGACGCGCGGGCTGCAGGGGCGGCGCGCGGGCCGTGAGCAGGTGGCGAGCGGGCTGCAGGTGTCAGAATTATATTCTTATACCTGCATGTAGTTCTAGCTGTAGTGTAGATATTAACTTTATAGGTGGTGCACCTCTTTGTTTGCTATATGTACCCTAGTGCTATAGTGAACATCATTCCCATTTCTCTCTCCTTGGCACAAACTCTCTCGACTCCCTTTGGCCTGGGCTACTAAGCCTAGGCCCTACTCTTTCTATTCAACATGGTATTCAGAGCAGGCACCTTCCTGCTGCCTTCCTTAACGGGCCCACCAGTCTGCTTCCGCTGCCTGTCGTCCTGTCGCGCGCCTCGGGCGCGCGGCGATTTTCTGCCCGCCGTGTGCTCGGGGCGCACGGCGGTTTTCTGCCTGCCTGCCTGCCTGCCTGTCTGCCTGCCTGCCTGCCTGTCCGTCATGCGCCCCGAGGCGCGCGGCGGGTTCGTCGCCTGTCGCGGCACACAGTGGGCCCGCGCACCCCCCCCCCCCTCTTTTCCTGTCGCCTGTCGAGGCGACCTGGGGGGGGGGGGCGCGCGTCGGCCCCTCCCGTCGTCGTCGCGGCCCTGCCTTGCCGTCCTGCCCCGGCCCTGTCCCGGCCCTGCCCTGCTCGGCCCTGCTCAGTCGCGGCCCTGCCCCCGTCTTCGTCGCGGCCCTGCCCCCCCCCCCCCCCCCCTTCCCCCCCCCGTAACCTCCCTACCCGCCATCTACGGCCCTGCCCTATGTTAGGGTTTGGGGGTGGCGAGTGGGGGGTGGCGGGTGTGTGGCATCCCCTGCTCCTCCTCCTACTCCGTCTCCCACTGCTGCAGCTGCCGCTGAGGGGTGATGGGTGGTGTGTTTCCCTTCCCCTCCTCCTCCTTTCGTTCCCACTGCTGCATCTGCCGCTGGGGGGAGGGTGTGCGGGTGTGGGGGAGCCAGGAGAGTGGCACTGGGGTGGCGGGTGTGAGACCAACCAGCCGCTCCTCCTGAAGTGGGGGGGGGGGGGGGAGGAGAGTAAAGGGGTGGCAGGAGTGCCTGCCCCTTTGCTGCTGTACCTGCTCTGTTGCCTTACCTGCTGTTGCTGTTTTCTCTGTCTGTGGTCTACCTCTGCAGGTTGTGTTCTGCACTTAGCTATTCCTGCATGCAGTTACGGGGGGGTGTCAGAATTATATTCTTATACCTGCATGTAGTTCTAGCTGTAGTGTAGATATTAACTTTATAGGTGGTGCACCTCTTTGTTTGCTATATGTACCCTAACCCTAGTGCTATAGTGAACATCATTCCCATTTCTCTCTCCTTGGCACAAACTCTCTCGACTCCCTTTGGCCTAGGCTACTAAGCCTAGGCCCTACTCTTTCTATTCAACAGCAGGGGCAGCGCGCTAGCTGCAGGGGCGGCTCGTGGGCTGCTAAGGGCGGCGCGACGAGCTGCTAGGGGCGGTGCCGCGGCCAGAAGGGCGGCGCGTATGTAGGGTAGGGCGGCAGGGCAGCTAGTGGGGCAGCTCTATGGTGGCCCCTAGAAAAAAATTCTGTCCTAGCGAAGGACCTGCTAACAGGGCCTATGTTATCAAGATAATTTATCCTGATTCTCCTGAATTCAGGATAGGTGTCATGTGCTTCTCCTGAAAAAACAGCATAAGGGAATTACTTGTCCTGTAAAATCAGTATAATGGTTATTTTGCGTACTGAAACTCAGGATAACGCTGTAGGTTCAGCCCTGACGACTCAGGATAATGTCGAATCTCGCCCTGAAGCGAGATGTACTGTACGAAAAATCTCCTGGGTTTCGGGGCCAAAAGTGTACAAGGCGAACACTTCGGATGATGGAGCCAGTTGGAATCGAGCAGGCAACCTACTGCGTAGCAATCTTTCGCTTTACCCACTACAACACTTCATGTTCGACTCGCCGAACAACAAAATCTATAACAATATTGTTTTGCGCCAGCTTTTCCATCCAATTTGGCCCACGATGTTCACCGCCACCTTCGCCATCTCCTTGTACTGTGCTGTAACACTTTCGCACCATGCAGCTGCCAGCGACTTGCACTGCCAGCCACTTGCAGCTGCACCCCAGAATTACACACTTCGAATGTGGAGAGCATTTCGATCCCCGCTAACATAACACGCGCGAAATATACAGGATTGTACGAAATGTAGCACTGAGCTGCCAGGATACTCTCAAATGTAGCACTGACATTTCAGGATACCTCACCCTGTGCAGCCCTGACAATTCAGGGCAGATTCTGATTTCCTAAAAACTGCCCTGAGGCCTCAGTGTACCCTCAAACCAATCTGAGGGCCTGACCTGCTATGAAACCATGTCAAATTAACGAACGAGAATGAATGAACTATGAAAGAGTTGGGTACAAGTACTAACCCTAATTGGGTTGAACCCCTTATGGGCTACCCCACTGTAGCCTACACAAAGTAAGCACTATAACATTCTGACACTGAATTCCCTTTATGGGTGTTTGTTGGTGTATGAATTTGATCAAGCCTAATATTACCAAGATCTATTGAACCCAAGCATTTAGAATGATGTAAACCCCCCTTTCCATATGCATCCATTTTACGGTTTGCCAATGTTACACTCTTGGCGTTCAATTTTGAATTCTCAAAAACAGCCCTAAACCCGAAAATTTCTCATTTTCGGTTCGTTTCAGCTCGGCCTGGATGGATGGCGTAGAGGAGGTGCTGAAATCGGCAAGTTTCAGCCTGAGGAAACTTGTTGTATCCACTGGTTGCAACATCTACAAGAAGGATTACAGAACTGCTCCCTTTTACACCGAGCTCATGACTAGGGTCACGAAGCATTGCAGGTGCGTCAGTTAAGGCTTTCTGTCTTATGATATGTTCTGGAACTATTAAACCTTAATATCCCTTTCGATGCAGGTGTTTGGAGGTCTGCGAGATCTATTATAACGCAGGGAAGTCTGGGCTGAAGAGTGACATACCCCGATGGATATTCGAATTTATTCAAAGATGTCCTCAAATAGAAGTATTTCGTCTATGGTCGCCGTCAGGAGACTGCGGTGGTCTCGATAATAAATGTATTGCTGCTATGGTCGCTGGTTGGGTCTGCCTTCAACACTTGGAACTTACAGGGGAGGCTATCACTCTAGATGGTAAGCGATTCTGTCATGCACCTCACAAATATGTTTCTTTCATGTTTTTTTTTACGACGTTCTAACATTTGATTGATGCTCATATGCTCTCCAGGGGTTATTATTTTGAAGGCATGCAGCAGCCTCAAAACTGCGCGCCTCAGCCACATTAGCCTTGGAGCTAGTAAGCGGCCAGACTCGTTACGGGTATCCAGCGACTACCTGGACAGCAGACCTTTCAAATCTACAGGTTTTCGAGAGCTGGAGCTGGCACACACTAATTGTGACCTACTTGACCTTCAAATCCATAAGGAATTTCCAGGTCTAGATTCCATTCGCATTATTGAGGCCCCAGAGGTGTTTCACTTGGATGATTCAGGGGACGAGGCTGAGACTGTTGAAACAACGTCCCAACATGAGCACCTCCAACGACTAGCTGACCTTAGGTCTAGTTGTGCAGAGGACGACTCAGTGTCCTCCCTAGTCACTTTCATTGACCTGTAGCTCTGACATGTCTAACGTTGTGACTAACATAGCACCTGTACAGTCAGACCAGTCTAGTGCACCTTAAACGTTTGTATTGAGAAAGTTTGCTTTCTTATTATTAATTGGCATCGTTCTCATTACAAATGGCTGTTTACAACATTTGCATCACAATTGAACACAAGCTAGTGCATGCTCATATCACTAGCTACGATATACTCTATCCAAGTGGCATGCGCAAAACGGTTTACACTGGGGTGGGTGGTGGGAAGGTTGAGTGAGCCGTTTGAAAATAGAGAAACGTGGGTGGAGGAAATGAGCTCCAACCCACTGTTTTTGTAGTTGGAGAAGGGCGTTTAGAGAGCTTCGACGATGCCAATTGTGCAATACAAGCAGCTTCGCTTTCACAATACACAATTTTGAAAAACACTACCGTATGTGTGTTTAAAATTTATAAATTTTCAAATCCTGAACTAAAATATATAGGGGAAGGAGCGAAGAGATAAATCTCGATGTGGTGTTTTGAACAATAGCCATACACATACGTATAGTGCTTGACTCGATTCTTGTTGAATCAAATGTAAGTGAGGCCAATGCATGCAGGTCACATCCTCGTCACCCACTCAGCGCACTGTTGGATCCGCGGCTCGCCAGTGGGGCAGCTTGCTTCACCAACTTCACCCACCATCGCCCCAACCAAACCCAGCCTGGCTGCGAATCAGCAGCAGACCATATGGAACATGAATATGCTTTCAGGAATCAGTACGTGCCGAACGGTACAGCGTTTGTTTAACTCGGTTTACTTGAGTCTGGTGCGGTGTGACAAAAACCTTCTTCACTTGCCCTACCAAACACCTATTTCCCTGCCTCAAGAATCGCAATGCTTTGATTTCATCCCATGCAGCACCATTTCCAGCTGTAATGGGGTAGAGTAGAGGTACTGATCTGAGAGAATCCGCATGTCGGCAGCACGTATCGCAGTCCTTTTGATGGCCTCTTGTCGAAGAGTTTCCGGAGAATTGTTGGTCAGTAATTTTGGCCACTGAGTCACCAAAGCCATCGTCGATTGTCTAGGAAGGAATCAGGGACAAGAACAAATGACAGGAGTGAGCCAATCAAAGTGGTGAGAAGGATGTTCGGAGAAGCCTGTTTGTGAAAGCTGGTCGCTACTTGTGCGTGCATGACGGGCCACTGCACATGAAAGAAGAACTTGACAGAAATATATACGGAAGCTTCAGCAAACAGGGTAACCCGACTACCACTAATTTAATCGACGCAGAATGGCCGAATCACGGAGTAACGAAGCAGCGAGCGCGTTCTCCGGTCCAATGCGGCAAGTAATAACGGGAGCCGAGGCCGCGAGTCCCACCGGAAGTCCCGCCAGGAGCGCCGCGAGAAGGAGTCGCCACCAACGGTCGTGGTCGGGATTGCCGTTTGAATCCTCTCCTTTCTCCTGGTCAGGACGGCGTTTCGATTCCCCTCAACCCTCGCGCTCCGGCGTCTTGACAAGCCGGCTTTACGAGCTGACGCTCGATGCGCCGCCCAATCAGGAGCTCTTGTTTGTCCCCGCTAAAAGCAGTAAGAAGACTGCTCGTGCTCTGAAGGTGGATGGAGATTCGGAGACTTATGAAGAGCCTTCCTCGCCAGGCTGGGCAGGTGCGTGATTACACTAATTCTGCATCTTATCTCTGATCGGTTGTAACATACAAAAATGCCTTAATCTCTTGCATGTTACATGGTTTGACTATGGACCCATAGCGCGGAATGAGTTTTGGAGGCGTCATTGGTTTGGTACGTGCGATTACTAGTGGGTTGCCGGGTTCCCTGAAACAGCTTACGAGCTTGCTGCGTTGTTATGAACTCACCTGCATGTCAGAGACTTCTTCTTTCTCTTTATTCCTGTTTGTTTTCCATCATTCTACGCTCATTCCACGGCAGAGTTGAAGGCGCAGTGCGAGAGGATGGAAGAGGAGGACCGTCGGATCACATCCATAGATCTCACGCACATCCCTGAGAGCGACACCGAGGCTGACTCTCACGGCCTGCATGGGAGCAGGAGGCGACGAGGGAAGGACGCGGACGGTGTTGTCATGTACGGTCTAGGCTGGCAGCCCAGCAGGGACGTGGAAAGATCCAACGGTCCAGATCATGAGGTCGAGATTGAGGTTCTTCCTCAGCGCAGTGAGCCTAAGGAGGGAGGAGGAGGATTAAAGGAGGAAGTTAAGCACGCAAGGAAGTCGCACAGACGGCAGCAGTCATGCCCTACGGACTACTGTCTTGTTGAACAAACTGAGAGGACAGACAGGACGCAGAGGGAGCAGGTGGAAAGGACGGAAAGAGATCAAGGGACAGAAGAGCAAAGGTCTACGCAAGGCAGCTTACCTGCTGCCCAGCTGGCAGGCAGCAGTGGCGCGCAGTGGGAGGGCGCGTGCATGCAGGAGCACCAGCAACAGAAGTTGCAGCAGCAGCAGCAGCAACAGCAGTTGCAGCAGGGGGACGTGGAGAATAGCAACAACTACAGTGAGAGGTCTGCATGGCAGGAAGGAGAGCTCTCTCAGGTGCGGAGCCAGCAGCAGCGGAGGGGCAAGCTGAGCCTCTTTGCCACGTGGCACAGTCGAACTCGCTCACGAGCAGAGGAGTTTCAATCAGCAGTCATGAGCCTGTCCCCTCCCCCACCTCCGCCCTCCTCTCTCCCCTCCTCCCCTCCACCAGCCTTCTCCTTCCCATCACCATCCCCCCAGCCCCCGTCATCCCGCTCAGCATCTCGCCACCGCCGGTGCTCCTCAGGGGTGCTGCAGCCCACATACTCACTATCGGACCAGCAGCCGTCAAATGCATTCACAGGCCAGCAGCCCACATGCACAACAACAGGCCTTGGTTATGATTGCGGGGAAGGAGAGCGAATCGCAGGCACGCAGTCAAGCAGAGGCAGAACGAGTCCGGGCGTGCAGCAGGAAGCACGGGTGCTCAATCCAATAGGCTCTCGCTTGAACCCGCACTTCAAGCCCTGCCAGCCTGGTCCACCACAACAAGGTGCCAGTGACGACTCAGCTGCTTCTGCCTCGCTCTCTGAATCATCCCACCGCCTTCAAGGTCCCTCGCACGAAGAGCAACCGCCTTGCCAGCCCTGCCAGGTCCCACCTGGCCAGGGCTGGCCTGGGCAGGGTCCATTTGGGGAGGGTGCATTCGAGCAGTTGAGTTGCCGGTTCAAGGCACCACCTGGGAATGTATCTGAGAGGTGGCAGCAAGTGATGGAGGAGAGGGTGCGAGAGGCCTTTGCCATGGGATACCTGGCAGGCCTGCGCGATGCTGCTGCCCACTCTGTTGCTCCACCTGCTGCTGCTCCTGCTGCTGCTGCAGCTGCTGGTGCATCACCTGGGCGGTTTGTACCGAAAAAGATCTCTTCTGATTCGCATTACGTCACGTCCCACTCGAGAGAGGAAGCAGCTCCTCGAATGTGCAAGAGCAGCATGGTGAGTGGGATCTCCCACTGTCAAGACCGGTCCCCCCTGCGATGGACGCGAGAGGTACGGATGCCTTTAGAGTCGATTCACCAGAGCAGCACGGTGAGTGGGGGAGGCTCGCACAGCAAGGGCGGGTCTCCACTGGGATGGAAGGGGGAGGGGGAGGTCCACATGCCTCACCGGTCTCATGCTTGCCCCAAGGGCCCTCTACAGGCGCGCAGAGTAGCATCTGGTCCGCTACAGCCTCGCTCTGGCCCGCTACAGCCTCAACATGGGCTGTTAGAGCCTCCGTTCGGTCCGCTACAGCCTTGGGCTGGTCTGTTACAGCCTTGGTCGGATGTGCTACAGCCTCGGTCTGGCCCGCTACAACCTCGGACTGATCTGCAACAGTCTCAGCAGCCTTCAATAGGGCAACCAAACAGAGAGAATTGCCGTTCGAGTACCAGCAGGGGTGACAGCGCTGGCTGTGCTTCCGTGCATGCAGAAGGAACGAGAAGTGCGAGAATCCCACTGAATCAGCTGCAGCCACAGCAAGCACAGCCGCAGCAGCAGCAGGTAGGTGAGCAGCAGCAGCAGGAGCAAGCGCAGGTGGAAGGAGAGCAGCAGCAACATCAGAAGCAGCAGGCAGTAGAGCAGCAGCAGCAGGAGCAGCAGGAGGAGGGGTGGAGGCAGCGGTGGAGGCGGGTGCAGCACAGGAGGAGTGGCAGCTTGGGCGCATGGCAGGAGCTACCCTGCAGAGCAGGGGAGGAGGAAGGGTCAGTGCGAGCACTCGCGTTCCACAGTGCTGCTAGGTTTGAGTTTGAGCGCTCCTTGTCTGATAACACAGGGGCAGGACCCAGGGTAGGCTTAGAAGCAGGTTCAGGGGCAGGGGCAGGGGCAGGGGTGGGGGTGGGGGTTCGGACGAGGGCAAGGGTGGGGGCTGGGGCAGGAATGGGAGGACAGGCTGTGGAGCAAAACGCAACAGCCTCTTCTGCCTCTTCTGCTGCTGCTGCGTCCTGTCCTGCCGCTGCTGCTAGTGACGCCATGGGTGTTTGCAGGGATGAGGAAAGTGATGCTGACAGCTGCCGTTCCCCTGGTGGTGGAGGGACTGTGGGAGTGAGAGGCGTTCGCACGGGTGCCTCCTGCACTGGCTTGCGCTTGAGCCGCAGACTCTTCCCTGGCCGCCTGCTGCTCACCCCTGACTCGTCTTGATGTGCATGACTCGTCGTGGCTTGCGATTTGATGCACACATGATCCATGACCGGGTGCAGTGCACGTTGGCACTCTTGCCAGCAGTGAAGTGAGATAAATTACACTACCGTACTAGGAAGACCAAACCATGGATTGGATGCATATACTACACACCTGACCTAAACTGTAAAAGTGTATAACGCAAGGCATGTTGCTGCTGAAACTAGTTACATCTAGGGTTGAAGACAAGAGAAGATGGGGGAGAGTGACTGACGACAAGAGAGGATAGGGGAGAGTAGTGATGGATGCTGGACAATGTGCAGGAGCTGAGAGAGGAGGGGGTAACAAACAAACGAAATCTCAGCCGTCCAGCCCAAGCTTCCTAGAGCACCCTGAGCTAGTACTTTCCAGGCAGGAGCCTCGAGGGTCAGCAGCCTTTCCTGTCAGCTCAGATCAGGTCAGGTCAGGCTTCTGGCGGCCATGTCGTTCACATTGGAGCTCGCATCACGTGCCTTCTGCAGCAGCGACGAAACCATTGCTTCTCCTTCCTCTTCTTCCTCCTCCTCTTCCTCTTCATCTTCATCTTCCTTCTCGCCTTCCTCCCCCTCCCCTTCCCCCTTCTCCGCCTCCTCCGCATTCTCCCCCTCCTCCGCCTCCTCCGCCTTCCCCTCCTCCGCGTCTTCCGCCACCTCCGCGCTCGCCGCGGAGTTCCCCAGAATTCGCGCCACCATGGCGCCCTCGCCGGGCTTCGCGCCGGAAATCCCGCTCGGCGCGTCGTCGTCATCGTCCGCCGTCAGCTCCCACGTGGCGTCGTGAAACGCGTCGGATCCGGGCGACGCGGGAACGTAACGGTCAGCGGCAGCGACAACGGACTTAATAGCGTCCGCACCACTAACAGTGACCGTTTCCTCAGTCGCCGCGACAAGCGGCGAGGCCTTATACGTGGTGCCATCAGTGGCGTCGCCTTTGCTCTTTTTCTTGCTACCCTTGAGAAGACTCACAATGGCGAACACCCCGGCGGCTACGACGGCGACTGGAATCAGCAGCGGAAGGAGGGCCTTCTTCGGCTCTTCCTTCTTCGCCGCGCCGGTTATTGCGGCGCCGATAGCGCCGAAGCTCGCGCCAGTAATCACGGGATCCGCGGCTTCGTCGGCGGTAGGAGCGGCCACCTCCACGAACTCGCGAACCTGAACTTCCTCCATGGGCCGGCTCGGACCAAACCGCTGAGAGAGGCACGGGGACCAGTGTGACGCTCACGCACGGCTCGACACGTACCTGATCTGTAAGTGCTGCAATGTGTCCTGACTAGAATAATGGCGTGGTTGAGGCTTGGGACATTCAGAGCAGGAGGAGCAAGGCTTGTTTGAATGCCTGGCGCAGCGTCCCATTGGCGGGAACTCCGAGGAAGTAGGGCGGGGGAAGTGGGGGATGCCTCGCACGAGCGTGGCGTTTGCGACGTTCGCAAACCGTCTTGGCAATGTGAGAGTTGTTACGATGTCGTACAGTCAATGCTCGTTACTAGAACACCAGGTAGCCGGCCGGCAGGTGCGTGAAACGAGTTTTGGCATTTCGCTCACTTCCTCCCTTGTCGCCATGGGCAAAAATGTGATTGTAGAATGAAAGTGGAATGCCAATATTTGGTTTTCATAACCAGGTAAATCATTTTTATGACGTATGCGACGACGTATGCGACGGGCAACCCTTGTTGTTTACTAACTGAGGATGTTGGCTTCCACTGTCAGAACATTATAGCTTATGCTGTTGTGTAGGCTATAGTGGGGTATCCCATAGGGGGTACAACCAATTAGGGTTTCATATTTGTACTCACTTCATTTTCATAGTCCAGCCCATTCTCGTTCTCATTATCACATGGAATCAGAGCAGGTCCCCTCCTAGGGACTGTTCCTTGGGCCCACCGAAGCGCGCCTCGAGTCGCGCCTGCCTTTTTTTTTTTTAGCGGCCCGTCGAGTCGCACCTAGCGGCCCGTCGCGCCGCCCTTACGGTCGCGTCGAGCCGCCCTAGCGGCTGCGGCGCGCCGCCCTTTTCCCGGCCCGTCGCCGCCCTTACCCGCGGCTTTGCGCCGCCCTCACCGGCGGCTTCGCGCCGCCCCTACCTGCGGCTTCGCGCCGCCCAGGCCCGTCGCCGCCCTTCCCGCGGCTTCGCGCCGCCTCTACCTGCGGCTTCGAGCCGCCCCGGCCCGTCGCCGCCCTTACCTGCGGCTTCGCGCCGCCTACGGCCCGTCGCCGCCCTTTTCTGCGGCCCCGCCGCCTCTCTCGTTGCGGCCCCGCCGCCCGTCTTCGCGGCCCCGCCGCCATCTCTCGCTGCGGCCCCGCCGCCACTCACTGCGGCCCCGCCACCCGTCTCAGCGGCCCCGCCGCCCGTCTTCGCGGCCCCGCCGCCTCTCTCGCTGCGGCCCCGCCGCCTCTCACTGCGGCCCCGCCGCCCTACTCAGCGGCCCCGCCGCCCGACTTCGCGGCCCCGCCGCTTCTCTCGCTGCGGCCCCGCCGCCTCTCTCGTTGCGGCCCCGCCGCCCTTCACTGCGGCCCCGCCGCTTCTCTGCAGCGGCCCCGCCGCCCGTCTTCGCGGCCCCGCCGCCTCACTACCCAGCGGCCCCGCCGTCCTTCTGCAGCGGCCCCGCCACTCCTCTACAGCGGCCCCGCCGCCCTACGTCAGCGGTCCAGCCGAGCCGCCCAACAGCAGCGCAGCCGAGCCGCCCAGCAGCAGAGCAGCCGAGCCGCCCCGCCGCCGAGCCGCGCTGCAGCCGAGCCGCCCGGCCGCCCACCAGCCGAGCCGCCGTGCAGCCGACCGCCCAGCCGCCGAGCCGCCCAGCCGCCGAGCCGCCCAGCCGCCGAGCCGCCCAGCTGCCGAGCCGCCCAGCCGCCGAGCCGCCCAGCCGCCGAGCCGCCCAGCGGCCGAGCCGCCCTGCAGCCGAGCCGCCCGAGCAGCCCTGTCCGGTGAGCACAGACCCTCTGTCACTGCGTGCTCTTCCCCTACTCCTTGAACTGCTGGTCTACTGCTGTCATGGCTACCCCTAGTGTCCTCACTTTTGACGCTGAGGGTCGGGCCATTGACTTTGAGGTCTGGGTAGATGACCTACAGCTGTTCTTACAGTGCGATAGGGCGGACGGCCTCTCTCTCTTTGACCTCACCTCTGGCGCTTCCCCTGCCCCTGCTGCTGATGCTGACGCCACTGTTCGCTCCCAGTGGGTCACGCGCGATGCTGCTGCACGTCTTGCTGTGCGTCGCCACCTCCCTACCTCCGAGCGTGCGCACTTTAGTCAGTACAAGAGTGCTCAGACCTTGTACGCCGCTGTAGTCGCGCGCTACTCCTCCCCTTCCACTGCTGCACTGAGCCGTCTCATGCTGCCGTACCTCTTCCCTGACCTTGCTTCTTTTCCCACCGTTGCTGACCTCATTACGCACCTCCGCACTAGTGACACTCGCTACCGCGCTGCACTTCCTGCTGACTTCTGCACCGCGAACCCCCCCCCCATGTACATCACTCTGTACTTCCTAGTCACTCGCCTCCCTGACTCCCTTCGAGTAGTCAGGGACCACTTTCTCTCAGTCTGTCCCACCACACTCACTGTAGACCTCCTCGAGAAGGCCCTCCTCGCGATAGAAAAGAGCATAGTCGCTGTAGGAGCCTCTCGAGGTGACCCGCGCACCCCCATCTTTGAGGGGTGTTCTCCCTCCCCCCTGCTGCCCTCTGTTGCCTCTGCTGCTTCGGCCGACCTCCTTGGTCTTGAGTCGGTCGGTGCGGCGTCTGCCCCTAGCGGGAGACGCCGCCCTGGCAAGGGAAAGGGGGGCAAGGGAGCTGGAGGAGCGGGCGGTGGAGGTGGAGGTGGAGGCAGTGGGGGGAGTGGGGGTAGCGGTGGAGGTGGAGGTGGGGGTGGGGGGTTCGGTGGCGGCAGTGGAGGCGGAGGCCGCGGCGGCGGTGGCGGTGGTAGCGGAGGTGGCGGAGGAGGCGGCGGTGGAGGAGGCGGTGGAGGCGGCGGCGGCAGTGGAGGCAGCGGAGGCGGTGGAGGCGGTGGGGGTGGCGGTGGAGCTGGTCGCGGGTCTTTGCAGAGGAGTGGCTCCGGTGGTGGCTCGCGCCAGCAGCAGCAGCGTGGTCGTGCGACCCTGTCCCCTCAGCAGCTCCGTGAGTGGTACACTGCACGCCAGCGGGGTGGGGGTTTTGGTCCGTGTACCTACGTCCTGCGCACCGGCGACCGTGCGGGTGAGCAGTGTGGGGGTGCGCACCCCACTCCGCGCTGCTTTGGCCGCCTGACGGACGCATGGCGTCACCAGTTCCCGGAGGCCTCCGAGATCCCTCGCTGGGACGAGCTGTCTAGGGCGGGGGTTGCCATCTTTGATCTGGACTTTGATGCTATTCTCTCTGCCATGTATGCTGTGTCTATTAGTGATGAGGGTGACTGTTACCGGTGTTTCCAGCCCGATCCGGGCATTGAGACTGCTGCTCTAGGTACTGGTGAGGCTGCTGCCCTAGGTGCTTACGACGCTGCTGCTCTAGGTGCTGGTGTGTCTGCGTCCTCAGGTACTGGTGAGTCTGCTCTCTCAGGTACCGCGTCGGCTTCGGCCTCCCTCACCTTCACTCTTGACTCTGGGGCGTCTCGCTCCTTCTTTCGGGACCGCACCACACTCACGCCGCTTAGTCGGCCGGTTGCGGTGTCTCTGGCTGACCCCTCTGGGGGTCCGGTCCTGTCTCGTTTCTCCACAGTCCTCCCGTGTCCGGCGGCTCCCTCTGGCACCCCCTCCCCTCGTTCTCGACGAACCTGGTGAGTGGTGCTGACCTACAGGATGCGGGTGTCCACCAGTTCACTCCTGCACGTCAGCGAGTGACCCACTGTACAGAGGCTGGCACAGGCCGACACCTGGCTACGTTCACCCGTCAGCCGGGGTCGAGCCTGTACACTCTGACCACTGCGTCTCCTCCAGTTGCTGAGTCTGGTAGGGTAGTTACGTCGGGTCAGGTGTTTGCTGCGGCGTCCAGGCCTGGTCCTGAGTCTGCCCCCTGTTCG